GCTGCTCACTGCATAGATTTGATATTGGAGAATTTGGAGAAGAAATTACTCATTCATCAAGAGACAATCTCAAAGGAAAAAAATTACTACTTATATTTACTCAAGGACTTCCCTAATTTCTTTATTGTCATTCTTCACAAAGGGAAGGGATTTGGTGAGTCCAGTCATCACTCGTTGTGCTATGTCTTATCTTACTTTAGGATGTCTTCCAGAGCATAAGGGAGCATTGGTTAGAATGTTCACATTTAATCAAAGGAAGACTAGCCACTTTGCTAAATCTGCAGATGGGAAGTTTGTTGAAGATGTGATTATGGATAAAACTTTTTGGATCTTGATTTTGACTACCTTGTTTGTAGTTATTTATTAGTTGTGTCTATCGTCATTCTACTTCTTCCTTTGCCTTAGTTCACACTGATGTATAAGGTTCAAGTTATTTTGTGTATACTTAAGGATCAAAATATTTTGTTATTTTTATTAATAATTACTCTATATATACTTTGTTATTTATAATAAAGATCGTTTTGAATTATTTTCTATTTTTAAAATTTTCATTTTTGAAATTAAAACTCAATTTGATGTTTTAATTCATAATTTGCAAAGTGATAATGTTCATGAATATCTATCTAATCAATTTAAAAAATTTATGACTTTTAATAGTAACACTCAACTATATTCTACAATAAAATGGGTTATTGAATGAAAGAATAGACATCTTATTAAAACTACTCATACTTTATTTGTCATAATTAGGTTTCTTATTGTCTTTAGGGTGATGTTGTTCTTACTTCTTGTTACCTAATCAATAGATGTCATCCTCTGTTCTTTAGAACTATGTTTCTCACTCTGACTTATATCTTCACCAGGTCCTTCACTTTTTACCTTCTTAGGTCTTTGGATCCAATTGCTTTGACATGACCTTAGTCCATGGCTTGATAAACTCTTACCTCGTTCTCACACATGTTTTTCTTGGCTATTCTATTTTTCATAAAAGTTATAAGTGTTACTCTATAGCTCTTTGTTTTAATTTTGTTTTGACTAATGTCACTTTTTTTTAATTTGTTCCTTGTTTTATGCCTAGTCCTCCTACTTTAGTATTTGAGTCTATTTTTCCTCTTCTATCTTTTGTTCCTTTTCATTATCTTCCACCATAACCATTTCATGCTTCCACAAAACCACCTCCTTTGCATCCTTTGCAGGTATATAACTGTCACCAACCACACCCTATGCCACCAATGTCTAATGGGCCTTCCTTTGACTCGCTTTTGGTGCCATGCACCCTCTCTCCTCTAGACTTGCCTCTTGAGATTAAACTTCTCATTGCTCTTTGTGCTATACACTCTATACTCACAATCTCTTTCTTTATTATGTTTCTTTAACTTACCGTTATTTGTCTTCTCATTATACTTGTTTATTTTCTTTGTTTTCTATTTCTGTTCCTTAGTCTATTGGTAATACTCTCTCCTTTCTCGGTTCAAAACAAACAAGTGGTACTTGGGAACTTGTTCCTCATTTTCCTATGAAGTCTCTTGTTGGATGCAAGTGGAGTTATATGGTTAGGGTTGATCTTGACAATAAGATTGATTGTCTTAAGGCTTGCTTGGTGGCCAAAGGTTATACATAAATATTTGGCTTAGACTAAGGCAACACTTTCTCTCTTGTAGCCAAAATGATATTTGTCTAACTACTCTTTTTTATGATTTATATGCAACAAGCTTGGTGCATGTGATTTTTATGCTTTAACTTGAGAGAGAGTATTGAAATTATATAATTATAGTAATGTTATAAATAGATAAATTATTATCTTTGTAATTACGGTAATTATGTGTTTTATATTTTGCATTAATAATTTTTGTTATAAATATATTCTCTGTTATGTAGTCAAGACACACAGATTCATCTTTTGTTTCTCATTCTTCTTTCCCAACAATTGTTATACAAAAGAGATTACAACTTATATTACTTTACTGATAATGCATGCAAGAAAACATTACACTTTATTACAACATATATTTTCAACCTGATTTACTGAGATACAACTTGAGAAGTACTCAATACTTGGTAAAAAGCTACATTTTAAAGATTTTTTTTCTAGATATAGTTGGTCCTACTGTTTAATGTTTTGCTGACTATAAAACTTTATGGTCAAATGCAGTGGAAAGTATTGTTTTTTAAGCAATAGGGTTTGCACTTGCTTGTAATAGTAAGATGCTCTAAGGTGGGAATTTTGTTTTCGGATTTCCAATTTGTAGTTAATGAATTTATTTATCTAGTAAAAGTGTGAAATTTGAAAAATATAGGATTTATAATTCCACATTATGGTTATAGGTTCTCAACAACAACCAGAATGGTTATATATAATTTTTGTAAAGACTAAGGAAGATAATGATTCTGCGACTTAAAAGTAATAAAATAAGAAATTAACGGGCTTAGTTATTTATCTATATTAATTACCATAGAGTTAAGAAACTTTTTCTAGGTTGTATTGTGTTCCACCTGGCCAGTATTGTATATTGTCTCTACCATTTATTTATCTTGTCTTAGTTATAGACATTGAGAACAAGACAAGTGAATATTTCCCTACCAAATTGGAATTGTGTTTATTGGATGTTGTACAATAATAACTAGTACTTTTGTGATCTGCTGTTACTTAAACAAGTACAGTTAAAATGGTTTGTATTCAGAATATGAATAATGTATCAGTTCTTTAACAGATCTTGGCTGTTCTTAAACTTGAGAAAGGTGAGCAAATGCTTTAAGATTATGCCAAATCCTTTGAAGAGGCTGTTGTGGTTTTTTAGCATGCTCCAATGTACTATTATTAAATCTATTCCTTAATTTTAGAATGAGTATTCATTATTTGTTCAGAAATGATTATTTTGCTTATGAAATTTTTATGTCGATATGATAACAATGTTAAAGAACTTAAGCATATGAAGCCCCTTCCACAAAATTTTTTTAAGTCACTTGATAGAAAACTTGATTTTTTGAGACCGTATCCTTCATCATATCTACATTTTTGGAACTGATACATTTCCTGAAATTTTCCATTATTTTTAATATTCTTAATTTGTATTGTTTCCTACCCTTTACTGATATTGCTTATCAAACACTACTTGGACTTGTATATATGTTTAACTAGGACAGAGGAGTTCTAAATACATATCATGCTGCATAGCTTTTTATTTTAGAATGTATGATCAATTTCAACCTGTATGCTTGTTGAAGAACATGTATATTTTTTACTTGACCAAGTCTAAATTCAATTAGAGAATTTCCCTCATTGGTAGTCATAGCAATAGCCGAAAGAAACTTGAACCCATCAACTAAGGAAGCCTTTGATAACTCTAAATGTTCTAGAGTTTTTCTACGCCCCAATGAACTCCAAAGCATTGATCAAGTCCAGAAAGCTAACGTTCCTGCACCATTTAGAGAGGAGAATAGATTTTCAATCACTGGCTCCAGTGATATAAAAAATTGGACACGCACGTGTTTATGCAACTGACAATTTTTTAAAAGACTTTACTAGGTTTGTGCACATTTTTTACTTGCATGGTTTATACTTTCAAATGTTAGCATGTCATAAATTTTTTTCTTTCTCTGCAGTGGCAAAGCTCTCAGATGAAGAGGAGTATTCTGACAAAGCATTGGCACTTCAGAAACTAATCATGCCATTGGAGAAAAATGGAGCAGAAGAAGAAAAAAAAAACATTATATTTGGTGACACTTCTTTGAAGGTTCCTCACAACAACCTATTCAGAATAAGACAACCTGAGGAAATATGTTTGGTTCTGAAAAAGGACATGATAGAAAAAGTTTATAAAGGGTGTCTGAGAATCTCTCAAGGAAATTTTTTTTCCAAACATTTGCTGTGATAACGGTGAAACCACTTAAGAGCAGGTTTCAGGAGTGAATAAGGTTGAAAAAACTGATATTCTATGCATGATTGTGGAATTCTAAGAAAGCCTAAATTCTAAGACTAGTAAAGTTGCTGATTGGAAAAGAAGAGATGGTAATGAAAAGAAATCCAAAAGCAACAACCTGAAAAAAACAGGTAGTAACAACAGAACTATTTTGAATTTCTTTTCTCACAATGTAATCATCCATGATTTTTGTTGCAGCTTCTCTAGAGTTAATTTTTTTTAACCAAGTAAGACTAATGCTATTTTTATTTTTCAAATTTTGTCCAAACTAGTTCCACATATGCTTAGAAACTTAACAACTGAGCATAGTTGTAAAAGAATCTAGTAATTGACCATGATACGTTATTGTGATGAAATTACACATTTAGATTAATCAATAAATAATTTAATTTCTAAGTTATGATACTATTTAAATTATTTGGCAATCAAAATTATTACATAATTAAAAAAATGTGAACATAATATACAATATTATTGCATATTGAAAGAAATAGATACCCATAGTTAAATTAGTTAACATGATCTCAAATTTATTTTATCTAAAAATCTTGAAAAGAAAAAGTCAACTTAAATTCACAAGTTTTCAATAGAACCATATAATTTTTTTTTAAAAAATTAGATGCTCATTATATATTTTAAAAAACGTCTTTAAAGACTACTTTCGTAATTAGGAGTGTTTGGTCACCATTCATAGTAGTATTAGTTTTCTTTTCATCAGATCAAAAGTTGAATACTGAAGAGATATTTTCATTCCCCAGAACCACTATCACTTGATCTTGAGTTTAAACATCTTTTATTTTCCAAATAGCTACTATTAATATTGTAAGAAGAAAACTTGACTAACTTATAGCGTTTAATTTTTACTTATTTTCTTTACTCAAGAATATAATTCTAATGCAATCATTCTTTGTAAATCTATTTCGAACATATTTTTTATTTAGAATTAAATTTGACAATGATCAAACATTTTTTTAAAAAAAAAGAATCAGCACATGAAATCATATTTTCTTGAAAAAATTATGTAAGTCAGCAAAATATTAATCAATGAGACTATAGTTGAAGTAAAAAAAAGTTGTTGTCAAATGAGAAAATGTCATTTTTATTACAAGACTTGCATTAAACAAGTAACTTGATTACAATTGAAGAGACACTTCAACTTAACCAAAACCACCATAACATGATTCTCTGAAACAACTGGAAGCATAAAAAAAGATTCTTTGCCTGTTATTTACTACTTCTTTTTGGCAATAAGCTACTTGAACCAGTATACTGACATCTTGGGGTATCTCTTGATTGTTTTGAAATCAACAGAAACAATGCCAAACCTTGATGTGTAACCCAGTCTTCATTCAAAGTTATCAAGCAATGACCATGCAAAGTATCCTACCACATTTGCTCCATCATCAACTGCTTTCTTTAGTTGAGTCAAATAGCCTTTATAACAATTTATTCTTGTGGTGTTATGAAAACCCTTAGGAAGTCACATTACCTGGATCATCCATGCCTGCAGGTCAGAGTGTCAGATAATGTTGCAACAATAATAGAATACTATGTTAACAAACCTAAAAGATAAAAAACAAAACAAGATATGAACATCTAATATGTTACCATTTTCAAATAAGTTCACATTCGAGTTTATGTACATCAATGCCTTGTACATGACCCATTGTACGATGCAAAGCCAATATGAATTTACCTGCAAGAAATCAACTTATAAATTAGTGAATATATGATTTTTGTCGACATCTGTATAATGAATATCTAACACTAAGTTCAAACTTACTTTTAGACCAATAAACACCCCAATCTTTGCATCATTAATATTTGAAAAGTAATGAAAAAGAAAAAAGATGAGTCATGGAAATGCACAACAAAAAAAACTTACATCAATGTTTAGGAGTGCCTATTACCACCCTTATTTATTTTATGTAAAATACTCTTACTATTAATATGGTAATAAAAGAAAAAAAGGGATATTTTAGACAAAAATTACTTCAATGAGAGTTGTAATAGACACTTAAGAGTGACAATATTTAAAAAAGAATTATCTTACAAGCAAACCCTACATTCCAGTCCTGTTGCCCTGTGACGTTTATGCATGGAAATTTTATATGATATAAATATGTTATAACAAAAATATAATGCATATTTTGTATCTAAATTATAAATAATATTTGAGAAATGATAAATAACTATTAGTTAAATATTATCAACATTTAAAATTATATTTATCAATAATTTGAAAAATGGAACAAAACAATGCAACATATATACATATCATATTTTTAACATTTGAGATATTTTGAATTAGAACAGTAAATTATTGATTTTTGCCACTTCATTTGTGGAATTTTAGTCCATTGTTATTAGAAATTGTTATATTATTCCTTGAGCTTGTTGAGTTTTCTTGATTTTATTTTAGGAAGTGGTGACTATGCAACTTGGTAAAAATAAGTTAAATCATAAAAGAAAGTGACAGAAAAATGCAAAGAATAGGTGAAATCAGTAAAAAGTTTGAAAGGAATACAAATAAAAGGGAGCACGCCCAACCTGACCTCAACAATCAACACACTTTGTGCCCTTTTAAAGGGCGTGTTCATCAACACGACCATGCTCCATTATATTATTTTAGAATGCAACAAAAAAGTGTGACATCCAACATACGACTTTAGATTATAATTTAGAGACATGAGACAACATTTCTGCAAACTACTAACTATAAATCAGAAATAGGAATGGCAAATCTAGAAGAAGCCACAAATAATGCTGTCATATACTCCTCAAAACTGTCATTTATTACTTGGGCAGGCTAACAACAAGAGTAATCAAATAGACAAATTGTATGCTGTCTTTATAACATTTAACAAATAAGTAACAACACAACTTATCTATTGTCACAATAAAAAATAAAATAAAAGCATGTTTCACATATGACTATATTGATTGAGCCATTTTTCTGATCAATCCCCAACCAATTATTTTGCAAGCAAAGCTATGAGACAGAGTAGCTAATTGCTTAACTCAACTTTGATCTTGATACCAAGAATCCAAAACTACAACTTATTTTCAAGTACCAAGATCAAATTGCAAGTGCTTAGTAGTTTCTAGCTATGTTAAGGTTTTCGTTTAAGAACTTGATTTTAAGACATTAGAGTGGAGTAAGTTATTTTCCCTAAACATGACAAAAATGTTCAGTGTGTTACAAAGTGTTCCACTGCTCCACTATTGGCTCTTTTCACTTTCTTGGGCCACACAAGCTCCAACAGTGTGTGTAGAATTGTGTAAAAACTTAGAAAACAACCAACATCCAGTAAAGAAAAAAGAAAAAAGACAACTTTACTACACACGAAGCATGAATGAAGAAGATGAAACACTGCCATGCCAAGTACAGTAGAAGAGTATGCAGAATACAACAATGCTGCAAGCACTGGGCAGTACCTACTGTGGTGCAGTTCCTTGTCACCATCATCTTTGGTGACACCACATGCACTTTTATCCGATCAAAGAACTCATCTGAGAGAGCAAGAGGGCACCCTGCAACATCAGAGTGTTGTGGGAATGCTGGGATTGTTGTTGTTGGCTTAGATGAGCTTGGGAAAATGGGTTTAAGGGTGGTTACTGCTGGATCAGGAAGGCCCATAAAGGAAGGGAAGTAGAGAATGCAGCATAAGAAATGGAAATGTTCCATAACAAGTGTAAGTGGAAAGCATTAGTTTTAATCTCACAATAAGCCTCTGTCAACCATTTCATGAAGAAGATTCTCGGCTGTACCATTATCATCTCTTTCAAAGAGAGCACGGATAATTATGTCAAAAGTTATAACATCAGGGCTGCAACCATTGTCTTCCATTTTTGACCACAAGGCTAATGCTTCATCAAACAAGCCCTCCTTACAAAGCCCATTGATCATAGCACTATATGTTGACACATCTAGCTGATAGCCATTAATCAAAAGATCCTGGAAAATCTCTTGTGCATCTTTAACTCTTCCGCCTTTGCACAGTCCATCAACAAGTATTGTGTATGTATATGCACTTGGATGAATGCCCTTGTCTATGACTTTATTGAACAATGCAATTGCCTGATTTAGACGATGGTTTTTGAATAATGCATCTATTAAGGAATTGTAGGTAATTATATTAGCACATTGACCCCTATCCTCCATCTCATCAATAAGCTCCCAAACATAAGAAATTCTTCCTAATTTGCAAAAACCATCAATAAGATAATTGTAAATTACTGTATCTGGTGCTATACCGTGGCAATGCATGTCTTCAAAGAGAACCATGGCTTCATCCACCATTTTAATCTTGCATAATCCATTAATCATTATGCTGTAGCAATGTAGATTAGGGGTTACTCCAGTTCGGATCATGTTATTGAATACACATCTGGCATTCTTTACTTCATTAATTAAACAATAGCCATCTATTAAATTACTATAAATAACAACACCAGGTTTCACACCATCTTTTATCATCACACTTAACAAATTTTTAGCTTCTCTCAGGTTTCCTTTCTTACACAGTGCATCAACCAATATGCTGTAGGTATATGCGTCTGGGTTAATTCTTTTCAATACCATTTCATTGAACAAACCAACTGCTTTCTTCACTTGATCCAAAAGGCAAAAGCCGTAAACTAGACAACTGTAGATGATAACGTTAGGATAAATATTCTTCTTGAAAACCATTTCTACGAAAAAATCACTAGCCTCAGTCACAAGTTTGTCTTTGCATAGGCTATCAATGATTGTACTGTACATTACCACATTCGGCTCAATCGATTGAGCTTCAATCTTTCTAAGCAAATGAATGGCAGCTCTGGTTTCCCCCACTTTGCAGAGTCCGTTGATCAACGTCCCGTAACTAACTTGGTTCATTTGAAATCCTTGTGCAACCACCTTGTCATGAAAATGCATTGCTTTTCTGACGTTGCCATTAAGACACATACCATTCATGAGTGTATTGAAGGTTACGGTATCCGGCTGATGACCCACTCTGAAGATCTTGGCCAATACCGAAAAAGCTAAGGTCATACGACGCAGTTGGCATAAACAATTGATGTGAATGTTAAAAGTAAAAATGTCTGGCTCAATTCCCTTGAATCCCAATCGTTGAAGAAGGGAAATGGCAGTGTGGACATGCTTGTTCTTAACGAGGGACCCCAAAATTTTGTTAAATTGAACGATGGATGGGGAAGGACGCATGTTGAGCATGCGATTAAATGAGGAAACAGCATCATCAACGTCAACATTGTGAATGAATCGGGTTTGGAGTGAGGAAGAAGGAAAGCAGAGAAGAAAAGGAGGAAACTTGGGAACAGAGAGACGGAGAGAAGAGCTTAACCTTGAGAATGACATTTGGAATATCAAAGTCGGAGCATCTTCACCTCTCTTTAGGGTTTATTGAAAGAATCGTGAATGTAATGTGCAGTGTTTTTGCCCGTTTTGGTTGGATTAAATTGAAATTTAAAAAACATATTGATGATAATATTTTATTTTATTTTATTGCTATTTTGATGATAATTTTTTAAAAGTTTAAATATCAGTTATATATATATATATATATATATATTTATTTATTATTTTTTTGTCATTGAATTAAACTAATACAATTTTATGATGACATGATTTACTTAAAATATTAATATGTACCTCATGTAAAAGTTTATATGTTTAAATATAAGCTTTTACACGATGTACATATTAATATTTTATATATAAGCTTAAAATTTTAAGTCTATCCAAAAGCTTCTTTATAAATATTTTTTAAATAAATCAAAAGAATTACATATAAAAGAAGCTAATATATTTAAACTTTATATATATAATTTAAAATTATTAATATTGATGTTATTATTATTCTTAGCCATAATAATAATAATAATAATAATAATAGATTAGTTTATTAGGGTGAGAAAACTTTTTAGATGACTGAAAGCTTAATCTTTTAAATTAAATAAAGTTTTAAAATAGCTTTTACCTTAATCACTAGCCAATATCACTTAAAATGTATTTTTTGTGGAGTGTCCTCTTGCGGTAGCTTTTCTCTATTTTTTTCTGGATGTTTTTTACCCACATCTATCCAATGAGTTTTCTTCTTTAATATAAGTTTTTTTCTTTACCTCTTTCACTAACTAACAAATTAGTTTTTTTATATATGATATTTAAAAATAATATATTAAAAAATATAGTATTTTAAAAATTTATAAATATATAGTTCTAAAAGTCTCTCAATTTTTTGTGTAAGTATAAAAATTTAAAAATAAAAAAATTATAAAAATAAAAAATTATTAATAATAATTTTTCAAATAAATGAAGATGAAACACTAACCATCTTAATCTTTATTAGAGATTAGTTAGGATTGTTAGTAGCTAGTTTATTCTATAGAGTTATATATTTTTAATCAAGACATGCTATTTTTATTTATACTTTTCATTTTTCAAATTTTGTCCAAACTAGTTCCACATATGCTTAAAAACTTATCAGCTGAACATAGTGGTAAAAAAATCTAGTAATTAACCATAATACCTTATTGTGATGAAATTACACATTTAGATTAATTAATGAATAATTTAATTTCTAAGTTATGCATATTATTTAAATTATTTGGCAATCAAAATTATTATATAATCTGAAAAAATGTGAACATAGTATGCAATATTATTGCATATTAAGAGCTTTATAGAAATAGATATGTATACTTAGATTAGTTAACATGATCTCCAATTTATTTGATCTATAAATCTTTGAAAAAAAGTCAACTTAAATACACAACTGTTTAATAGAACCAAATAATTTTTAAAAATTTAAGTACTCATATAATTTTCAAATCCTTCTTTAAAGACTACTTTGGTAATTGGTAGTGGTGGTCACAATTTGTGGTAGGATCAATGAATTGACCATACTTAGCTGGGCAAATGAGATATGTCAAAATTTCTTTTTCATGCAAATTACAAGTTCAATACGGAAGAAATATTTTAATTCTCGACAGCCACTATGACTTGATCACATGAGTTTAAACATCTTTTATTTTTTAAATAGTTATTATAAAATAACACCTCAGCTTATTTCAATAAATTTATATTGAATTTAAAGTCAAGTCATCATTTTAAAAAAATGATTGTATAAGAACTTAAATTATATATCACCTTAAAAAATAAAATCTTAAACACAATACTTTAAGTGCTTGTAATAATACAATTCCCCCATCAATATCAAATTTTTACCTCTAATTCGTGTTTATCTTCAAAAGCAAAACTCTAATTTGATTGAAAACTAACAACAAATACACAAGGTGATATATTCAGTAACATCTTGTCCTATATAAAATTGAGGTCAGTGGTAACCAAAGTGATGATTAACAAACAAGAGGCATGCATGCTTTTAAAATGAGACTAGGTATATTAGGATTTAGTTCTCCACGTTTAAATGAAAAGTATGAAATTTCAACAGTTGATAAAAAAAATAGATTAGGAGTAAAATATTATTATAAAAACATATATATGCATAACAAACTATACATTAATTAAACTCCACACTATCGATTTTTTTTTCCCATCAATGATCAAAATCCACAACTTAGAGAAGATAAATCACACAGATCAAATTGATTCTGTGACCAAAAAACAAACACTAGACTTATTTATTTTATCTCAATATCCATCCGTGAGTAGCCGCTTCTCTTCCTCCTCTAACCTTGCAAGCCATTTGAATCCAAGGTCACATCCTGCTTTTGCCGCTATCTGAAATTTTTCTCTTGCCATCTCTACTGGATCAATTGCAAGACTTCCTTTATTCTTCCCTCGTCTATGAGCTGCCGTGCCTCTCTTCAAATTGAATTTTATTATTGATTCTGGAATCTCGACACCTGAGGCACAACACATTATTCTTATTAGTATCAGACTCTAAACAAGATAATGAAAAGTTGTATGCAAGCCACCAAATCCAGCCAGAAGACGTTTAAGTGAAGTGAAGCTGGTCGTCCAAGACCAACAAATTTGTACTAGCTTTTGCCACAGTAAAGTAATATGAATATCCTCCATGTTTTGAAAGTGCGGCAAAAGTGATTAAATTGCAAACAAACAGTTTGTTAGGTACTCCATCTCAAAATATAGATTAGTTCAGATTAGAAATTGTTTGATTTTATCCATCATCATCGATAACACAAGACATTGAATAATTTTTTCCAACTTTATTTTTGTCTCTTGCCTCTTGGTATCAGTATCATGTCAATGCCTTAACATTTCCGTCCCATTCTCTTTCTCTTGCTTTTCTAGTGTGATGTTCTTCTTGCTTCTCTTGTGCGACATCGATGGTCATCATTTTCAACCAATTTCTTGTTATTGTCATCATCTTCGGCGACGTTTAGTCATTTTCTTTATCTCCAGCAAAACTTCCGACGCGATCATATGATTTCCAGTTGTCGCCTTCATCTCTAACAAAGTTTCCGACGTGACCCAAACATTTTTCAGTCATTGAACACAATTTTCTATTTCCTTTTGCTGTTTATTATTTATTTCCTTTTGTGTTTTGTTCCAAATTTGAAGGCCTAATACAGAAGCATTGGCTGCTTCCCCAATGAGTTACAAGGAACTATTTCTGTTTGGTTCCTTTATTTGGTTGTTATTAACATTTGACATGTATTATGTTCTCAAACTTTCAAATTTTGTTCATTAATTATGCACAAGTCTTTAATATGTGCATTAATTTTATAATTTTAAGCATATATAAGTGTGTAGCTTCATTTATATTAGGTATATTTAAAACTTTACAATAGCGGTCATCTCACTATCCGCTGTAATGTTTTTGGAGTTAGCCACTCCTCGCTGCTATCCAGGATTGACTACTATGGTCACAATTAGGGTTAAGTTCCTTATTTTGAGTTTTCTACATTTTCAAGGTGACCCAAGTTCCAAAATCCTATCTAAGTTGGTATCAACAATGATGCTCACTTCCTTGCTATGGCTGTGCTCTAGTATGTCTTAAGCAATCAAAATGCCAATTGCATCAATAACACATTTTAAGTTTCAACTAGGGTCAATCATTGCATCTTTGATTTGACTGGGTCAATCATAGTAGACAAGAAAATAGTCTCTCAAGACTTTTCGGTTTGTTAAGTTCTGAAAACTAAGCTACATTTCTCTCTTCTACCACCCTTGTTTTGCCATGACAAGTAACCATGCACTACCCAACAGCAGCTTGAACATTCAACCAAAGCAATCAATGTTATCAAATGGCAGCCAAGTGCCTAACGGTGGTGGTTTTGAAGCTCTCCGTTACAGCCATGGTGATTTGTGGAAAAACGGTAGTTTTGCAGAAAACTTAGTTTTCTTTTGCAAGGTTTGGGCTGCAGACCTGACCCTGTCCAGAGACTTAACCCGTGCCTAAAACCCTAATCCGTTACATGTATTCCTCTTTTCTTCATGAATCTTCGTGAAAAATTATTTCCCTCTCTTCTCTAATCTCTCTCTACTTCCTTTGGTTCTGCAACTTTCCTATTTCATTTATCTCTCTCCATTTTGTTCTGCTGCGTTTCTATTTTGCTGGGGTGTCTCTCTTCTTTCTGTTCCTACTGTGTTTCTATTCTGCTAGGGTGCCATAGTGTTTCTGTTCTACTGCATTTTTGTCCCCCTCCATTTCCGGTAATTGCTCCTCCATCTCCAGCAATCCGATTTTTCCAATAGCCATTTTTCCCTTTTTTTTCCTCTGTATTTCAGTTTTTTCTTTATTTCTCTCATTTCAGTTTTACCCTCTCTCACATCTCTGTTTTTTCTGCCTTCCTTCAAATTATTTCTCTTTATTTCAGCTTCCTTTAACATGGCTCAACAAGATTCTTCATCAAATTTTTCAAGAGCTTCTAATTATTATGACTTATGATGGAAATATGCTCATTCTCTGGAAGAGGATGATACAAACAACATTGTATGTAACTTTTATGAAAAAATCATGAGTGCTGAAATCACTAGAGTAAAAAAATATATGATCAGAAAGAAGGATAAAGTGAAAACTTGCCCCAAGTGTCCAAAAGAAGTTAGAAAGAAGGTTGAGACATATCAAAAGGATAAAAAGAGTCAAAACAACTTTGAGATGCTACCAAAACATGTATTGCTATTGGAAATCAAAAAAGGACAATGGACTTGTTTTGTAGAAAGCCAAAAAGTGCCACTGAGAAAAGGAAAAAGTTAAAATTGAGGCAAGCAAATATAAGAGAAGTATGTAACAAGAAAGCCAAGGTAAGGATCCATTAATACATAGCTTGATTTTGGTATCAAGATGGTCTTTCCTTTTTAACCTTGTTAAAATGGAGAACTTTCAAGAAATGCTTACAGTTGTTAGTGCCTTTCGCCCAAATTTACCAGCTCCAAGTTATTATAATATTCAAGTTTCACTTCTTAAGAAAGAGTTAGAATATATTGATTCTCTCATAAAAGATCATAAGGAGCAATGGAGCAAACATGGTTGTTCCATCATGCCACATGCGTGAATCTATCAAAAGTAAGGATGTTTGATTAATTTCTTTGTCAACTCACTTACTAGGATTATGTTTGTAAGGTCCATTGATGGATCTAATTTTGTGAAGACTGGTGAAAAAACTATTTGAAATGCTTGATGCTATTGTGGAAGAGATTGAAGAGAATAAAGTTGTGCAAATTATAATAGATGTGGAAGCAATTATATATTGGCTAGTAAGATGTTAGAAGCAATAAGACCACATATTTATTGGACTCCTTGTGCAGCTCATTGCATAGATCTTATGCTTAAATATATTGGAAAGTTTTCCTAGATAAAGAAAACAATTCAAAGAAAAATATTTGTTATTGGCTCTATCTAAAGTCATTCAAGTATCTTGAGTTTATTGAGAATTTTACAAATAAGAAAGAATTGGTGAGATATAAAGTTACTAGATTTGTAACTTCCTTTCTATCATTACAAAAGGCTTCATAAAAAAAAAAATCTTAAAACGATGAACAAATCTTAAAAAGATGTTCACTTCTGAGAAGTAGTGAAAAAACAAATTGTCAAAAGAATCTAAAAAGAAGCAACAAAAATTGTATTAAATCCTGTATTTTAGAATAATGTGGTATACACTTGAAAATCATGGCTCCTCTTGTACAGGTGTTACGTTTGGTTGATGAGAAAAGAAGACTAGCCATGGGGTATATTTATGAAGCAATGGAAAAAAATGAAGAAGCTATTATGAAGTCATTTAAAAATAATAAAAACAAATACAAAGATGTGTTTGCAATTATTAATAATAGATGGACTTGTCAACTTCATCGTTCATTACATACAGCTAGTCACATTTTAAACCTAGAATTTTATTATAACAACTCTCAAATAGAATTTGATTTGGAAGTTACGAATAGGTTATATGATTGTATCAAGAGGTTGGTGCTATGTCGAAATGTGCAACAAAACATACTACTTGAATTACCAATTTATAAGCATGGTGGTGGTCTTTTTAGATCTGACTTTGCAAAAAAAAAAAAAAAAAAAAGCATTGCTCTTAGTAATTAATCAAAAACTTCAACATTTTAAATATAAGTTAATTTATAGTGAAGACCTTACCTTTAATTATAATTTATCTTTGATTTTATAGCTCAATGATGGAGAATGTATGGACATTCAGCTCCACATTTACAATGACTAGCTATCAAAATTTTGAGCTTGACATGTAATGCATCTAAATGTAAAGGCAACTGAAGTGTTTTTGAGCAAATAATTTCTCATCTCTCAAGCTTAGTATTCTCTTCTAAAAGTTAATTAATATTTTTTTAATTACACTTAAGTTGTAGATTCATTCAAAGAAAAAGAATAGGTTTATGTGTAATATAACCAAGAACTTAAAGAACGTTACAATCTTAAAGATGTAATTAATCCAATTACACTCAATGACATTAATGAGTGTAATGAGTAGTTAGTTGAAGAGATGGACGATGATGCTCATGATAAAGATGCTGGAAATGACTTAGTTTTTTTATGGTAATAACACTTTAAAATGGGCAACTATTTATGAAGCTTCTAGAATTGGAAGGCTTAGAACATATACTAGGCTTCATTCTAAAAAAAAGAAAGAGTCTATCAAGTGATCTTATTATCAAAGCTGCAAAGTTTTCAAGATCAAGGCATGTTCAACACCAAAAAGGAAAGCGAAAATGGTGATTGAAGATGATGAAGACATCTCGAAAGAAATATACTAGAATTGGAGAGCTTAGAACATATAAGACTTCATTTTAAGAAAAGAAAGAGTCCATCAAGTGGTCTTACTATCAAAGTTGCAAAAGTTTCCAAGATCAAAGCATGTTTAACAGTAAAAAGGAAAGAGAACAAAATGAAGATGACGAAGAATTAGAAGATGAAGACATCTCGAAAGAAATAGAGGATGAATTAGAAATTAATCTTCTAAAATCTAAGAGAGACAAGGAAGAGGGATATGCCTTCATAGATGAGAAAGAAGATTATTACATTAGAGTTGAAGAAGAGGACTAGATTGATAATCTCAGTTTTTATTGTTAACTTGACATTTGATAACTACTTATTTTGTATTGAATTATGCTTTGGATTGTGGGTTATGATACTTATATTTTGAGTTAATTATTTTCTATCATTTCTTGTGACCTATAATATTTTTATTATATCCGCCATAACATGCAACGGCGACCGCCATAATTTTATGGCAACTTTTTGGGTTTCCGCCATGACCCGCAATCCACCATTGATTACATTGAGCAATCATAAGAATCCTCTCTAAACAAAGTCGTGTACAATCATTTCTTTATTTATTTTTCATAGGCTATAGCTCATAATAATTGGTTTTGTCGATGCCACAGGTATCTAAACCAACCTCCACGCAAAACTAAAAATGGCTATCCTTCATAGCCTTTGTGAGGACCAAAGGCTACAACATGGTGGAGTGTCACTTAGTTTCAACTCAGGCTCTAGCATGACGAAGCCATTATACATCATCACAATACATATGCTACAATACATAGTTTATAGTATCAAATATCATGAAGACATTGGAGCAAGTTCAACCACATAATGAAAGGGAACCAGTGCAGTGAATTCTTCATAAAACTGAGAGCAAAGAATTTGAAGAGAATTTAAATATGTTCTAAGGTCTGGCCTCAATGCTTTAAGGTGGCAAATGCCATGGGGTTTAAGTTTAATAGTGTTATAAAGTAACGACAAATCACTCAAAGACAAAAATTCTTAATGTGTTTTGATGGTTCAAACCCATTAAGTCTCAAGTAAATTTTATATTGTATTTGATTCATTTGTTAAGTGTTTCAGTATAAGTAATCATTTGTAAAACAATTCATAAGAATAGATGATTTGAAAGCAAGCATTAAGTAAACCAATAGTCTGCAAAAGAAAGACTATATCAATCAATTTTCTTAACTGTTTGTGATTTATACAAAATACAAAAACAAAATAATTGACTAAGAAAACAAACTTATCTTTAAGAAGAACAATATCATACTTTTTTTAATAGAGACAAAAATGTCTTTTTGTTAATTCCCCACACCTTGAACTAAAATAGCAAAACAATAAAAAAAAGAAAATAAAAAGTACTTTTGGTACAATAAGGACTTGGTTCTCGTTAAAAACCTTTTCAAAGGAGTCTGTCTTGTCCAACGGATTTTGAGTGTGTCTAACATAAACTATCAAGCTCAAAGCTATTTAACGTGACACTCATCTATGCAAAAGATGAGATTGTAATTCGTGAATATCATTATTCAAAAATCAAGTCTACATTGCATCCAATTTCATGTGTTTATTCTTATTGTATAGAAAATTGAAGAGTGAGATTTTAATGTCTTCATTGTATATTTAAGTTGAATAGTGAGAATTTTCACTGTAAGTCAAGTCAAGGACTGCACGTAGTCCTATTATTCTTGGGTGAAGTAGTAAAGTAGCTGCATACTTTCATTTATTTCCATTCTCAATTATTTTGAAACAAATTGCTTTTTCAATTATGATATTTCTTCCTGTTTTAAATTTAACCAAGTTTTTTAATGCATAAGTGTTTAAGAAAACATATTCTACCCCCTTCTCTTATTTTCCTATTTTAAACATCAAGTAGCTAGATTGTAATTTTATTATTGTTCTTTTTTTCTCCTTCTATTTTTTGTAAGTTCAATAGCATGAACCTTTAATTAAGTAAGAAGATCAATCATAAAATTTTGTTCTACCCATGGTAGTCAAAATCGCGTTTTGAATCATAGAATCATACAATTCTACGATCTCCAGCCATGCCTCCGTGCTGAGTCAGTGCTGAGAACACGAAATGGTAGGATCGGTCAGATCGTTCTTGCTGGGACGTAAAAACGTTGAAAACGCACGATTCCGATGTGTAGAGAAGAAGATATTTTGGGCCAACCACCTATGACCCGACCCGACTTCATTAAAGGAGTTGGAACCCTAAAATTCCAAAAACTCCGCACTGCGACTTCTTCCTTTCTTCTTCACTCTGTTCTGCAAGACTTTATGTCTCTGTTGTGCGACTTCTCTACGTTTTTTTGGCGACTGCGATTTGGCTCCGCGACTGGATTTTTTCTGCGATTTGGTCTGGGATTTTCTGCTTTCTGTGCTCTGTTTTGGTCTGCAATCCCTATAGCTTTTGCTCTGATGACTGTGTCTACTCCGGCGACCTTGTCTGTGTTGGCACTCTGCTTTGCGCTGGCGACCCTGTCAAAGCAGAGCATTTTGCTGTGGTGGCCATCCCAGCTGTATTTGCAACCATCGTAGCCTCATTTGCAGTACAACAATGCCGCTGGAGAATAAGTAGTCAACTTTCCCTTTCTATCCTCAGAATGAAGCAAATTTTAGGATTTTTTTAAGGGTAAAAAAGACTTTTTAATTTTTAAAAATAATCCGACTTTCCCTTTTAGTCCTTAAAATAACTCTATTTTAAGTCTTTTTTAGGGGTAAAATAGTCTTTCTAACAGAATACCTTACCTTATCCATCTTTTCCTTCTTCTCTGTCTTTATTTTTAGCATGTCCCTGTGTCTGGTTTGAACCCTTCCCTCATTTGTCTTTGTTTTACTTCCCCATCTTTATATTTATACTATTTTACATGCATTTATACAATTTTGTAGTATCTTACGATCCGTGTTACGATCCTATGAGTTACGATCTTTCATTCCCTCTCCGATGCTACGTAGAATCTCGATTTTGACTACCATGGTTCTACCCACATGAATCCACCAACTTATCAGCAGTAATATCTAATGTACCAAGTTTTAGCATCTAATTTATGTTTACAATTGCTTTTATTTTTTTTCTCAACCATTCCAGTAGAAGTAGTAGAGCTAAAAGTGCTATAGTTGCCAATCAAGCACTTAAATGAGCAGTTGCGGCTGTAACAACAATATACAACACAATTAGGTGAAAGGAAGTGGAGAAAAACATAGAAAGCAAGCTTACCTTTAAGAATAAGAGATCCATAAGCTATAGCTGCCCCAGCATGGCCCTGCACAAATAAGAAAAGTGAAATTAAGAATCCAATGCAAACTCTTTAAAATAGCTGCTAAAAATTTGGCTTTACCATAGTAAATGAGATAAGAAAAGCAATAAACCCCACTAGGTTGAACAACTGCAAACTAAGAGAGCCATAAAGTTTTTAAGCAACATATATTTAGGAGAATAGAAGCAAGTTTTTGATACAATAATTACAACATTTTAAATGCAAGATTAATGTCATAAAATTGGCTAAATGGGTATGTTGTGTCATTATAGAATATATATCATCTAAAGTAAATAAATGCATGGTCATTAGCTAGGTAAAACCTAATTATGAGAAATATATACTTGTATACACCTACACATTCATCAAAATGTTCCATTTCCCTCCATAATTAATTTTATTATAGCAACCAAACATATTCTAGCTTAAGCGAAGTTAGGTCCACAGATCAAACAATGCCACAATGTTTTTGTCATGAATCATATCTATAGACAAATTATTTTGACCCTAAATCATTCTTCATTGTTTTGCCTATACTTTTTTTCCATTTAATCTACTCTCTTTATTGGAGCTTCTATAAGTCTTTTCTCCACATGCCCGAACCACCTAAGACAAGATTCTACCATCTCTTCTACAATAGGTTCTATACCAACTTCTCTAATGCTTTCATTCCTATTTGTCTAGTGGGCCTGATCATCTAATGCAACATTCTCATCTCTACTACATTATCAACACAATTTCTGCTACATTGACCATATAGATCCCCTCACAAAAATCTAGGGGGTTTGATGCCTTGATGGTGGTGGTGGATAGATTAACCAAGTACAGGCATTTCATTCCTTTGAAACATCCTCATACATCCAAAAGGGTAGCAGAAGTTTTTGCCCAAGAGATTGTTCGTTACATGGCCTTCCCTCATCTATTCTTAGTGACAGTATCCTATATTTGTGAGTCACTTCTGGTAGGAATTATTTGCTCTCCAAGGCACTAAGCTGCAACTAAGCACTACTTATCATCCTCAAACCGATAGACAAACAGAAGTTGTTAATCGTTGTATAGAAACTTATTTGCGATGTTTTGCTTTGGATCAACCTAAGAATTGGTCTTTATGGGTTTCATGGGCAAGATTATGGTACAACACAACCTTTCATTCGTCCATTGGGATAACTCCCTTTGAGGAAGTCTATGGTTGCAGTCTCCCTCAATTCCTAAACTGGTTGAAAGAGAAGTTCAAGTTGAGGCAATAGGAAGGGAACTAAATGATAGAGATGAAGCCTTTAAGCAGCTTAAGGGTCACTTACAAAGGGCCCAAGAAAGATAAAGAAGTATGCAGATAGGCATCGGTTGAAGTTGGAATTTGATGTGGTAGTCTAGGTTTTTCTCAAATTAAGACCCCACAAACAGCAGTCGGTCACCAATTGCATTCATCACAAATTAGATCCTCGATTTTTTGGTCCTTATGAGAGGGTTGGAAATGTTGCTTACAAACTACAGCTACCAAGAACCTCTAAGATCCATCCTACTTTTCATGTCTCTCAGCTAAAGAAGGCTGTTGGGCAATACGATTCTTCTAGCGAGCTCACTAATGACTTATCCTCGGAAGACATGGCAGAACCTGAATCTGTGTTATCTAGTCACATAATTTCAGCTGAAAGGTTAAGCAGTTTTTGGTCCAATGGAAGGGTCTCCCTGTTGATGAAGCCACTTGGGAGGATGAATTTGCTCTGCAGCATCAGTTTCCTCAGTTGAGCCTTGAGGACAAGGCTGTTTCTTTGAGTGAAGGTATTGTTAGGACCATGAAAGAAGAACATATGATTGATACTAAATAGAGACCTAAAGTGTGGAAGTGTATGTTAGGAAGAAGGTAAGGAACTAGGAGGACTTTTGGTTTTTGCTGTAAAAATACCATTAGGGAGAATTGTTCTCTGTACAAGAGCGGATAGCTCTGGAGGATTCTTGTAATCCTTATTCTTTTCAAAGGGTTCAATAACAATTGTCAATATTCTTCAGTCTTTTTCTTGATTTTACTTCTCAGACCCTAACAACTTGCCCATCAATCTTTAAGACAACAATGTTGAAAGCCCTAACAACTAAACCCTAAACCCTAAAAGCACAACCATGTGCAAGTGTGGCATAAATTTGATTAATTGATATATTTTATCACATATTACCTTCTCTGATGCCCTATGGAAACACCACAATGCTGAAGCAATATCTTTCTTCACACAGTCGCCAGTCAAATATACAGCACCCAAAAGGTAAAGAGCACCTGGATGCAACTAGAACATAACACTCCAGTAAGGTTTTATGTGATGTTCTGAAATCATGGTGAGTAGACACCTTCCTTAGCCTAACATACCTGGTCTACAGCTTTCTCCAAATAATAAAAAGCTTGTTGATCTGATTGGACATAGTCATTCTGTCTCCAAAAATATTGTTTTAAAAGAATATTTCATTAGAAAAACTAAAGAAGAATCCAGATATTCATATTTCACAAAGTATCTAGTAATGTAAATATGGAAAAAAAAAAAAAAAAAACTCAAAGCGAGTTAAGAAGATACAAAGTAAGAATTTCCTACTAAATTAGATCATAGAAATAAAATAGAACTGCACAAATGCAATCAGGCAAGTAAAGAAACAAGGAATTACTAACAATTCACAATTAAGAATACATACAGGCCTTTGTCAGCACTTCAGCCAACCCCCCCCCCCCCCCCAAGGTCATATACTCATATCTGTCATTTGTTAACCACCAAAAAGAAAATCCAATACTTAAATCTGCAAATAGTAATGGATAGGGTGCAAGTTTAGGAAAGCTTTTTCTATGAAAAATAATTGCTCCTCTTTCAAAATCTCTCTCAAGAAGCTGCAAAAAAATAAGCAATTATTTCTTCAAAATAAGTTGAACCAAATATGCACTAAGCAATTCAAGGAAGGCATCGGCAAATAATTACAGTCATAAACTCGAAGTTTGCAAGTTTGATTACAAAGAACTTAAACAATGTGATCGAAACATTAAAGGCAGAGTACCCTCACCTCAACTCTTAAATGACAACCCAACGCATACTGTGCATCAGGATCACCCATTTCAGCTGCTTCTACCAATAATGCTGCCCCTCTGTTTCCATGGGGGGCAAAGGAAAATATGGTCAGTCATTTGCAGTATATAGGTTTGACATCATTTTTATGTGACTAGATAAAACAACACAGCCAAAAAATATCAAAATAATCATCACTGGACCGATACACAGTCAATGGAACTGTTTAGAAAAAGACATAACAAGAACAGCAAACAATAAACCCTTAAAATTGACATGAATGTCATTGATGACCAGAAGAAAAAACAATAATGTCTTAACACAATACTTAGCATGGAGGAGTGAAAGAGTTCACTTACACAGCTTTATTAGCTCCTGGAACATGGTATTTCATATGCAATCTGGACAACCAATACCTAGCATGGGTATTGGAGTTGTCAGCTTCCAAAGCAAGCTCAAAATTCTCCTTGGCTGTCTAATATTGAACATCAAAATAAGGGCCTCTGTTTCTCTCATTAAATGTCAAAATAAAGAAGCAACTAGCAATAAGTTGAGCAAGTGTTCATTACCCTAAGGAGAGGGATGAGGCGCTTATCATTAAGCTCGCAATAATCGATGACTCTATCAACCTCCTTCAAAGCACTCCATCCTTTTGCAATGAACTCCAAGGCTTTCTTGTTCCTGCTATGCAATTCTCTCTGCAAAATTTCCAACCCCTTCAGATAATAAAGATATTGAAACAAGACATGTAGTGCAACAAAAATATAATTACATGCCTGTTGATTGAATCGAAAAAGAGAAACAGTGGAGGGGTTCTGAATAAATTTGGCCAATAATGCCCTCCGCAGCATCTTCTCTAAAACGATAATGCAACTGTCGACTGAGTTTAAGGTGGATACAAATACTCTTTTCCCACAACTCAGGAGCTACAAAGATATATGGTACCAATTGTCCAAGATAATAAGCCAATTAGGAGAGTAGTCTGTGTACTTTCTGACTTCTTGTTATATACAGTGCTTGAAGTCAAAAGCTGTGCAAGTAACCATGCACTTGCAATGGAAAACAACACCGCAAAGCGGTCATTGAGATACTGCAGAACCATGGAAAACAACATTATATAGATTATAACTCCAACTTTCATAATTTATATTATTATCACATAAATAATGGTTGTCCTCTAACATACTTTATTCTCAGTGCAACCAAAACATTCACGAAAACATACAAATAAAGGGATTTGGAAGCCTTGCCTAGTTGATATAGCAAACAGAATGTTTTCTCCAGCCACGAAATGCACAAACAATCAATATGATTATTCCGTTAGTGCCTTCAATGATTGAATGTCGCACTAATTTTGCTGTTCAGCACTTGTTCTTTCCTCTCGCCCTCGCTCGGCATCGGCTATCTTCTCTTTTCAAAAGAGATTAGGTTATTTTTACTCAGGAGCACAAGTGGCATAAAGAAAAAAATATATCTGAATTCTTAAAATTACAACGTAGTCCTCGAAAAACATTTCTGCAATAATACAAAATTCATATCAAAATATTATATAATATATCTGACAAAGCTACGTGTCAAAACAATCCACTGCGACATGAGTAAGCCAAATACTTGGTACCTACTTTTTCTGTGTATGTGTAATAAAATTGGCATCCGTTTTAGGGACAGAGATACAAATAGAAAAGAAAAGTGGTGCCTCCAGATTCGATCATCATCAGAAAAGTTTTTCCGATTCTTTTAGCAGAAATCTACAGCGCAACAACTCGCACAGAATGAAATGTGGTCAAAAGATGATGAAATTTTCACTTACAAATTCACCACCCAGTTTGCCAAGCATCCAATGCTTTTGGTTACTGAGCGTCTTCAAATGCTTCTTCAATCCCCTGGTGGAAATGTAATTGAAATGACATAAAAATGCAGTAAAAAACATGGCAGATGTTAGATTATTTGCATATGTAACTTATGGCATGATTCTAATTAATGATTTAATGTCATGGTAGTTAAATATAAAATATAGAGTAATTAAAGATATAATTGTAAATATAATTATAATGAAACCCTCCCTCTCCCTTAAAAAAATAAAAGAGCGATTATCAAATAGAAGTTATAGTTTTCTCTATTGTGTTTATCACTTTTACGGTCTCTAAATGTGTTCATGGTAAACCCAAGATATGAATTTTCTCTCAACCATCTGAGAGGAGCTAATAGAAGAAGGAAGAGTTGGGAAAATACAAGAGGATCAACGACATCAAAGAGAAAGGTGACATCAAGAAACAATGAATTCAGGTTAGTGCTTTCTAAACTCTTAATTGTGTGCTACTGTGTTGTAAGAACAACGTAATTCAAGATCCTAAAGGAAAATTATAATTTCATAATAGCTGAATCAAATGAAAATTACATATTAAAATAAAAAAATTCTAACAGTCGTTATCAAAGTAAGATTGTGAATTTTGTTGATTCTCCATAAAAGATTGGTTCTCCATTAAAGTTTTCTCCAAATTACATGAACCCTAGGTATTTTATATGATGGATGACATAATTTTGATGTTAAATAATTGTTTTGGATTTAATAATTGAAAATTCTAAGGTTTTGAATCTGTAATATGAGGAGAGTCATGTATCAATGAGCAGAGTCATATATCAGTGAGCATGGCCATGCATAAGGGAGCACGGCCTTGCATAATAGAAGCACGGCGATGCATCAATTATAAGCATGGTCATGCATCAAGAAGCACGGTCATACTTCAAGAAGCAGGGGCATGCATCAGAAATGAGCATGGCCTTACTTCATCGAAGCACAGCCATGCATCAAGCAAAAGCACGGCCGTGCATAGTGATTTCACAGCAAAATAAGGAATATAATTCATAAAATTTATAGATCATTTTAGAATTATATCAAAGTAGATTTTACTCACCAAAGTGATTAAATTCTCAATTAATTAATTCTAAATTGTATGATCATAATAGAAACTTCACAATTTAGTGCTTAATTTTAAGGGTAGTTTGTTAGTCACCAAAGTAGCCTGACTTTAAAAGTTTGTTTAAGTATTTAATTGTGTACTGTAAATTATTCAAAATTTTTTGATGCTATGTGGTAACATAAAGGATGAACAATTTAGCTCATTAATTATAACGCTAGGAAACCACTCAAAGGTGGATCATTGCATATGATTAATGATATTAAAGATACATGAATATACTTCATAATATGTTTTACATTTAAAGATGACTTGTATATTGGTTTGAGTGACTGATTGTCAATTAAAGTTATTTATTTAACATCATTATAAATAAATTGTGTATTTAGGTATTACACAAAGGTAAACTTAGATACATAATTGATGACGGTTGGTTGTCTGAATCCATTAAGTTTATTCAATGTGTAAATGTTTAAGCATGTGTTAAATATTTTAGTCCCTATGAGTACGTATGGCATGAGCAATGGCATAGTCAAATTCAATGGGCTCAATTATGATGATTGGGTTAAAAAAGTTCGATTCCAGCTAGGTGTTATGGACATGGACCTAGCAATCATTATAGAACAGGAGCCTGTAGCCATCACAGAGACTAGTACTGAAGAGGAAAAGACTTTTCGTGAAGCTTGGGAAAGGTTGAATAAGCTGAGCTTGAGCTTGCTAAAAATGACTATGGCTGAAAATGTGAAGTTATCTATGCCAAAGTGAATTACAACACCATTAAGGATAAATGGAACATACAGGAAATTAAGGTCATACAGGTCCAGGAGAAAGGGAGGCTGAAGAAGCTGAAAGAACACTTCGTCCATCTCACATTTCATGAAGGAGCTAGTAGTAGTAAGGCTAAGCCAGTTAAGAAGGTCAACAAGGACAAGAAAGATAAGACCTTACTAAAGGTTCGTGAAGGCCGAATCCAAAAGGGCCAAAGGTGCTTCTTTTGCAAGAAGACTGGTCACTTCAAGAAAGATTGTCCGAAGAGAAAAGTTTGGTTCAAAAAGAAAGGTATATAGTATGCTTTGAATCAAATCTTATTGAGGTACCTAAAAGTACCTGATGGTTAGACTCTAGTACAACTACTCATGTGTCACACGTAATGTAGGGATTTCTTTCGGTCTAGCCCATAAGTGGAACTGAAAAGTTCTTGTACATGGGGAACAGACTGATGGCACGGATAGAAGAAATAGGGACTTACAGATTGATCTTGCATATTGGTTGCTGCATAGATCTAGAAAAGTGTCTTTATGTTCCTGAATGTGCTAAAAATTTGGTTTCCATTGTAAAGTTGGACGAATTTGGTTTTAATTTTAAGATTGGAAATGATACTTTTTCTTTGTATAAACATTCATACTATTTTGGATCTGATACATTAATTGATAGTTTTTATCATTTCAATCTTAATGTTAAATTTGTTAAATCTCTATTTTATGTTGAAAATGTTGTTAGTAGTAATTTGAATGTGCGTAATGAATGTTTTGCTTTCTTGTGGCATCAAAGGTTAGGTCACATATCCAAAGAAAGGATGATGAGGTTAATAAAAAGTAAAATTTTACCTCAATTAGATTTTGTTGACTGTGATGTATGTGTGGATTGTATTAAAGGAAAACAAACCAAACACACATCAAAGAATCCAGCCACAAGAAGCAGTTAACTCTTAAAGTTGATACACACTAATATTTGTGGTCCGTTTAACATCTCATCTTGGGGTAGTAAAAGATATTTCAATATTTTTATTAATAACTACTCACGTTATTACTATCTGTATGTATTGCATGAAAAATCTCAATCAGTGGATGTCTTATAGGTGTTCATTGATGAGGTGAAAAGGTAACTAGATAGAAAGATAAAGGTTGTGAAGTCAAATAAAGGTGGTGAATATTATGGAAAATTTGATGAAAGTGGACGACAATGTCCAGGTCTATTTGCGAAACTTTAAAAAAGTTAAGGCATATGTGCACAGTATACTATGCCTGGTACACCACAACAAAATAGTGTGACTGAAAGGCGGAATCGTACTATTATGGAGATGGTTAGGAGTATGTTGAGTTACAGTTCTGTACCTATGTCTTTGTGGATGTATGCATTAAAGACCGTTGCGTATCTGCTTAACAGAGTTCCTAGTAAGGTAGTTTCAAAGACTCTTTATAAACTATGGACAGGAAAGAAACCCAGTTTATGACATCTTCATGTTTGGGGTTGTCCAGCAAAAGTAAGAGTGTATAATCCACATGAAAAGAAGCTTGATGCTAGAACCATTAGTGGTTATTTCATCTGCTATCCTGAGAAATTAAAGGGGTACAGATTCTACTGTCCTAACCATAGTATGAGAATAGTTGAGTTTGGAAATGTAAGGTTTATTGAAAATGGTCAATTTAGTGAAAGTAATGAAACATGAAAGGTAGAAATTAAAGAGACATATGCAAAAACTCCTGTAGTTGGTGTACCTTCTCAAATTGTTGTTCCTCTTGTTGTATCACTGTCACACAACATAAGAAGACAACAAGTTAATGTTTCAAACTCATAAGAACAACATATAGAGGATGAACTAGCTGACAATGCACAAGTCACAAACGAGCAAAAGGAAGGTAAACCACAAGAGATAACATTAAGAAAACCTATAAGGTAGAAAAGACCTGTTATTTCAAATAATTATGTGGTTTACTCACTTGAGCATGAATGTGACTTAAGTATTGATGAGAACCCAGTCTTATTCAAGCAAGCCATGGAATGTAGCAATTCTGAAAATTGGTTGAATGTCATACAAGAAGAATTAAAATCAATGAGTGACAATAAGGTATGGGATCTAATCGAGTTGCTTGAAGGTTTAAAATAAGTTGGTTGCAAGTGGGTCTTTAAGACCAAACATGACTCAAAAGGCAACGTTGAGAGATACAAGACTAGATTTGTTGCTAAATGATACACTCAAAAGGATGACATAGACTATAAAGAGACCTTCTTTCCTATTTCAAAGAAGGACTCTTTAAGAATTGTTATGGCTTTAGTGGCTCATTATGACTTAGAGCTCCACTAAATAGATTTAAAGACCGCTTTTATGAATGGTGACTTGGAAGAAGAAGTTTATATGGATCAACCAGATGGCTTCTTGACCACAGGTAAAGAAAGTCTAGTGTGTAAGTTAAAGAAATCAATATATGAGTTAAAACAGGCTTCCAGACAATGGTATCTTAAGTTTAATGATACCATCACGTCATATGATTTTGTAGAAAACACTGTTGACCGGTGTATCTATATGAAGGTCAGTGGGAACAAGTTCATCATTTTAGTTCTGTATGTTAATGACATTCTTCTTACTACTAATGATGTTCGGTTGTTACATGATATAAAGGAGTTTCTCTCTAAGAACTTTGAGATGAAAGATATGGGTTAAGCTTTCAATGTAATTGGAATAGAAATATTCCGTAATAGATCACAAGGATTACTTGGATTGGCTCAGAAAGGCTACATCAAT